GGTGTTCTAGTCTTTAATATAGTCATCCCACATAGTACATGCAATTTTCCCACATTCAACTTGCATTTCTTGGTCATATACTAAGAAGACGAACCAACATTGTTACTTTAAGCCATTTGTTGATAAGTAAATTTGATAAAAAAATAATGAATTTGGTGAATATAAATGGTAAAGTAAAAATTGATTTGAAGTATTAAAAAATTCTATGTAAGTGAGAATAGTCATTATATGAGATGTAAATAATTTAAAAACGGGATAAGGGTCAAAATGCCTTTAACGTATTGAAAATGGTTCAAAAATGCCCTTTTTCCATCTATTGGATCAAAAATGCCCTCCATCCACCTATTTGGATAAACAATGTCCTTAAGGTTAAATTTAAGTATAAAGTTACCCTTCCTTTTAACAGAAGTTAATGTGGCATAAATAAATTATTTAATTAAAAATGTGACATTATTTTTATTGGTCCATCTATAATTAATTAAATCTAATTTCATTCACAATCATATCATTAACCCAATCCATTTATAAAATACAGCCTTCTTCATATTTAGAAATACCACTGGTCAGAGAGAGTGGAAAATCAGTCAGCCTCATCCCTAATACCCACAATTTCCCCTTCTTCCTCATCATAATGGTCATCTCCATTTTCATCTTCAGGATTTTCATGATCATTTAACTCATCACCAAACTATAAAAAAATAGAAGCTAACTTGGAAATCTCTAAAACAATTTTGTTTGAAGAAAATAAAGATAGACCCGATTTAAAGTTATCTCCAATCTCCAATAAATCGCTTTTATTTTCACAAAAAAAAATCAGATGATAATTCTTGCTCTGACTGAGCTAGTGATGTCAGAGCAAGAAAGGAGGCGATGTCAGGAGCAAGAAAGGTGACGACACCATGCAAATGGCTGAGAATATTCCTTAATGCTGGATGAATTGGAAAGGAAGATGAAGAAGTGTTGGGCCTTTGAGATGGGTTTGGGTTGGGGGATAATGATTTATGGTCTAATTAATTACCTGTGGACCAATAAAAATAATGTTATATATTTAATTACAAAATTAATTTATGCCACATCAGCTTCTCTTAAAAGAAAGGGTAATTTTAAGCTTAAATAGGGAATTTTTTTTAATCAAATAGGTGGAGGATGACATTTTTGAGACATTTTCAATACGTTAAAAGACAGTTTTGACCCTTTTCTGGTTTAAAAACTAATGATATGAATTATAAATTTTATTTTACATAAGAAATAAATGCTAAGTATTTATAAATGTGGAGTTATTTTTTCCCCAAAATTTAAACTTGTGAGTCAATTTTTGTATTTGAAAAATCCAAAATCATGATTTGAAAATCCCAAATCATGATTTTTGGAGAATAACATGTACAAATGGTGATTTCATATCGCATGTCCAAACGGCTAGTAAATAACAAAATTGAAGGGCCTCTTATTCCCAATTTTTGAAGTGGATATTGATGTTGACTGGTAAAACTTGTTACTACAATATTTAATTTTGAGAATGAATGGTACCTCTAGTTGATTTTGTGTAGAAGGGGATCTCCTACTACATTTCCGGCTTGCGGTGTGTATAGATCTTTTGTTGCTGTTTGAGGTAAAACTTTGCATTCTTTAGTTGCTCATTTCAGTCGATCTGCAATATACACTTGTATTGGTTTCTCCTTTTCCTTTGATTTAGTTAGGGCTTTGCCCTTGTAGTGTTGCAAAAACCTAAAATTGATCTCCAGGTTAGGGCAGTCGGCCAACCCCCAATTTATTCAAGGATGAACTCGTCAGATTAGCTTTTCTAGTAGTAGCTTTCAACATGAAATTTTCCTAAATCTATTCTCCTCAACCGGCGGGCGCTTACTTGTCAATATAGAATAACGAAATAAAGCTTTTTGTATGAAGGACTCAACAAGAAATACTACATTTTTCTTTTGATTGCTAGCAGTAGAGGTTTGGTTTTAGTCATAAACTTTCAGACATACTACACATGTGTTGGTGGTCATGTGATAACAAGTTATATGATTGTAGATAAATTGCTAAATCCTCCAATTACCTATTTACACTTTAACCTTGCATTGACCATATTTTTCATATCAAAACTCGTATCTTTATTAGTACATAGTGCAGGAATAATGGACAGTACTCATGTTGGTTCTGATGGAAATAAGGAAGAAAGTTTGTCTCACTACTCCATTGTTAAGAAATTGAAGGGATGTGGTGATCAGTCTCCAAGAGCAGAATTGCCTCAATTGCCATCTGATCCTCTAGGTCCAATCACACCTGATTCCACCCAAGAAGGTGGCGACCACGTAGATGGGTGTTGTTCACCAGTTTGGTCTTCTCTTCACAGGACTCGTTATTGCTTTAATTCTCAACTTTTTGGTGACATGGTTTATACAAATGAAGGAAGTCGACAGACTCCCAAGGGGTTTGGGTTTGATCCATTTGCTCCTGGACCAGATGAACTAATGCTTGCCCCACAATGTAAAAAGTATTTTACAGATTCACGAGCCAAAGTGACACGTCAGCTTAACTTTGAGGAGACTTTGAATTTCAATGAAAATGTTGATCACTTGGACAATGTGGGAACGGTGTCTGAGGATGAGATGTTATTTGAAATGTTGTACAATTCTCTCCTACAAGTTATTACCTCAGAACAGAATGAGGATCATCATTTGAAAGCCTCAACTCCACTTTCAGATTCTGATGGATACAAGACACCTACCTATGCACCTCATCTTAGTGGAGTTTCTGATACTTGCCCTGGTGCTCCTATGAAGCCTGCAAGTCGTTGTAAAAGAATTGACAAAGGATTATGCAAAAAGCTTATATTTTGATTATATTTATGTTTGAAGAAATCTGGGTTCTCTGCCAGAGATTGATTCTAGTACATGACAACCTCACTCATTTTCAGTGTGGTGGCTAACCTCGAACTTGGATGTCATAGAGCATTAACATAGTGTTTAGGTTGTTGAAATCATGACTGTTACTTTTAATTCTAGGAGTTTTATGTACTAATTATGTAGAATTTAATTTCAGTATTGAGTGACTGTACTCTTGTATCAGTTAGTTAATGTATAGGCTTTTGTTGCAACTTCTGATGTGGACAAAAGTCTCTATTTATTTTGATAGTTGATTGGTGGCCATTTTGGTACTTCCATGAATTTTATGTCTAATGATGATCAATGATTGTTAGTGGAGAAATGTTTCATAAACTGACTTTGCTCAAGCTGGTCTTTACATAAATTTCAGTCCAGTTGGCATCTCATCACTTCCTTGATAATGCACGATATCAGACTATTTAGCTTAAGAATCTCAGGCTTCATAAACGGTGTCTACCCCAATGAATTTAAGAACCAGTACTACATAGCCGTGCAGAAAATTGCATCCCAAACACACATAAATACCTCAAAACTTGTTAGGTGTGGAGCGTGCAGTCGTCTTTTGCCTGCCATATGCCTGAAGCTGGCTTTACTTGGGTTTTCAAGCTGAATCTTAAGGTCCAAGGTAATGTTCAGTTTTATTTGTAGAGCAGACCAGTAGATACGTATGGAAAATACTTGGATGCCATTTTAATGCGAGGTAACTTAATCCTGAATATGGTCAATGCCAATATTAACAGAGTATGAAGAAGGTGGCAAGAAAGACGACAGCAGACACAACACAGTCCACCAGCTTCTATTCTTGTGTCTATCCCCAATGAAATTTAGGTTGATCTCCTGCCATTTCGATGTGGTCTGTCTAATACTACCAAATGAGAACAGTAGAAGCCAGATTCAGAATCTTGATCAGAATAGAACTGGAAGCTGATAAGTTCACTCAATTGGAACTTGTTCTCTTGGTCTTTAATTAACAGGTTAAGAAAAGTTCCAATTTTATGTTAGGAAATTAAGTGCGTTAAGAGCGTAAGGTTGTCCTGAGCGGTTAGCAAGGAAGGAGATGGGAGTCAGATAAATTGACTGCTGGGATTCAAAGGGTCCTCCAATGTAACACATACACTGTACCAGCAGCAACACTCCAATTCCAATGGCCTAAAAGTGCTTTGAAAATGAAAGGAACAAAAAAGATACTATCAGATAACATGCATATTGGTGTATTTGTCCAAATTCAAACCTCATATCTATGTTGACTTCTGCGCCTTTTCATTTTCTTGCTTCTGGTGCTGTGTAGCTTTCAACCAAATGGGCAAAAATATGGCTTTTCTTTCTGATTGGTGCCAATGAAGAAAAATGGAATAGACAAAAACTTTCTTTTACGGCTGAAAGGGAACCAAAACAAAGGAAAAAGACCACCATATCGTACTTTTGTAAAATAAAAATAAAATAATTGATGAGGATATAGTAAAATCTTTACTTATAAGGACCCAACTATTTGACATTTGACTATAGTAATAATCCTGGGTAAAATGGAGAATTATTTTATCTTGCATTTGGTTGGAGGTATTAGGTATTCTTGATCTATCTGTCTCATCATTTTTACCTTATTGATGAGATAAGTTATTTCATATACATGGTGGGATAACTTATCTCGGGATAACCAATCCCGAAATAACTTGTTCCCAGCCAAACGAACAAGCGACAAGCGACAAGCACACCCTTTGGTAGTTGGAAACTTGGAATTGAAATATCAATCTGTTCTACATTCTGCTACACGTTAATGGCTCGACGGACCAATCAGTGGTGTTCTCTATGGTGGCAAGAGGATTTGTGATACAAAGCATGATATTGCTATTATATCAGGCTCGTGGGCTCATGGCTGATGAAAGGGCATCGTCAAATTTACCTAAATAATCAGAAACACCTGTATTCATAAACTTTGATGTGTTTTGCTTTTTAGCTTGCTCTTAATTGACAACAGAGGAACTGCAAGAATTAAAAGTACTCGAATACAAACATCTAAGAAGCTGCCTTGTCTTCCCACGATTTGTTTGTTCATATGCTTCAGTCCATTGTTACATGGTTGAGATAAGTTGTGTCTAACATGATAACTCAGGAACATAAAGCAATTCAATTTGTTTAATAATTGGAGATCGAAATCACGTTACACTTGAAAGAAATAACTTCATCTATAGAATGTACACTTTCCATGATTGTTTCTGTCAGATTTTGCTTTGCAGCTCCCAGTTTATTTCATGGCAGACACATATGCCACGAGTTCACTCCCTGGTTTCTGAGTTAAAAATGTTACAGCTCATTCAAAGAAGCATCTCCATTTCATTTTTCATAGCAGATACACTTCACTTCAACTTGAAACTAACATCCAATCCTTTTGTAAAATGAAGCTGAACAAGTTTTATTGTACTCTCTGCTGTATATGACAGTGAAAGACAAAACTGATGAAATTGCATCAAGTTAATAGCAAAGCTTCCCAATATGCCTGTTAAACCAGGTCCTGTCCTTGATAAGAAGCACTTGACCTATTCTCATTTTAATTCTTGGTCATCAAAGGGGCTCAGGGTTGAGTATGACAACCACTTTTAGGAGTAGCTAAACTTCAACAGATTTTATTATGGTGGTACAAACAAGGATCTCTAATTTCCAACACTAACATTTCAAGTACAAAATTCGCAGAAGAACCATTTTACTTAATAAAAGATTCTGAGTTGCAGTACGACAAAATGAATGAATGAGAATTACATGTTGTCACTAACTCCATTATTGTCTACTTTAGTTCAAGACCAGATGAAACAAAGAGCAACTGTACTGCAAACTTAATTTCCTCACCTGTATTACACTAGCTAGATAACACTTGCCTTTTTGTGTGTAACCTATCCCAATAGTTCTTCCTGAGAAAAACATGATTTTTTAAAAATCTACGACAAAATTGTATTTGATAAACACAAATGTAGTAGAGAGAAAGTGTAGAAAGCAAATAGAGAGGACAAGATATTTGTATATATATTAAGTGGGATCTAATAAAAATGATAGTAGTAGTATTCTGAAATCGAAATCGAATCTCATCTAAGTGTGGGACAAGGATACTTACATACAGAAGAGAAAACAAATAAAACAAATCATAGCTTCGTCTTATAATGACAAGTCTGATTAAGGAGCCTCCTGTTAAGAACATCGATGAACAAATCGCAGGTAGAGGAAGTCTTGACACGAATCTTGAATAGAAGATGGACAACCCCAGACAATTTGACGTAAGTAGTGAGGTGTAACGCACCGGCCATAACATCGGAATACAAACTGGAGTCGGAAAGTAATCGATCGGCCATGACGGTGAGGGAAATATTCATTGGATGCGTTTGACGGGAGCCAATTTTGCCGGCCAAAAGAGGGGCAACTCCGATAACTTGTCCCTTGTACTGGAGTAGAGCAGATGTGGTGTCGTATTTGAAGCTGACCCGGTTGGGATTTTGGACAGAGAGATCGGCTTTAACGGTGACATTGAGGTGAACTTGGAGTCGAGCGATGTCAAATGAAACATCCAAATCATCTAGGGAAACGGCATCTACTGTCGTGACAGGCTTTTTGGTTTTGAAAACTGTTAAGCCCAAGATGAGTAAGAGAAGCCCTAGAAGGAGAAGGAGAGCGAGGCAGATGAAGCAGCAATTTCTTGCTCTTTTCTTGTTGGAGGATCTGTTAGCCATAGCAACAGGGGATTTGTGGTCTTCCACGTCCATTCTTGTTTGGGGGGGGGAATGAAAATTGAATCAAACCAAATCAAAACAGAGAGAGGGTATGAAGAAAGTAAAAGTAGAATTAAATGCAGGATGGCGGGCAATTTCCCTTTTAATGCCAACTACTAACTGTATGGCCCCCATGGGATGGAGTGGGACGCATGCACATATGAAATAGTTGACTCCGATTTGGGGGAGAACAATATCGTGCCCTCCTTAATGTGCACGGAAACTATATACTTAAATACTTTCTTTCTCAAAAAAGTGTTTTCTACTTTATAATATTAATAATTTACAATCATAATAAATCACTTTATGCATCCATTTCTTGATTCTCTCTGATTTTTTTCTTTCTTTAAAAAAAGCCCCACTTTGAAGTATCAAGAGCAGGGTATAATTAAAAAAAAGGAAAATCATATCTGTTTAAAATATGATTTGATAACCAGATCATCCTTTCCTTTCGCTTTCAATATTTCATCCCCTTTGCCTACCTAATCTACTGTTTTCTACCTACTTAATATTTTTCAGACCCAGTATTATTACTAGTATATTGTTTTATCACGTCTACACAAGATTATGTTTCGTCAATTAAAAGTGCCCCTTAAATGTTTTGTTTTTATAAAAGGGGTTTAGTATCAAAAGGCTCATAAGATGAAGTGTTGAAGAGAATCAATAATCAATAACAAGAAGAAATATATTTTTTTGGCGATTAACAAACTTTATTAATTATCAAGAGAGAGAAAATGACATAAATAGTTCTTTAACTATAGGAATAGGTCTAAAATGGTTACTTAACTATACAATTAACATATTTAGTCCTTTAAGGTCCCTTAACTATCCACTTACTGATTTTAGTCCCTTAACTATAAACTTATCGATTTTAGTCCTTAAAGTATTCAAAAACTTATCATATTTGGTCTTTGTCCATTTTTTAATACAAATAACTTAGGTTTATATTAACGGTAATTTTTGAGAAATTAAATCTTTAACTCATTTTTTAAGTTGTTTCTCTATCCCCGCCCTTTTTTCTTCAAAATACTCTCATGAAAAGAACAATAATGTCAACGATTCAAAATAAAATTAATGAAAAAAGAAGAGATAAATTTTAATTTTATTCAATTGAGGATAAAATTAAGCATATAATTATTGTTAATGACTTGAATCCGCACTTGAATATGCTAATCAGTGCGAATTTTATTTAATTTACTCAAATTTCTTTACGCAGAATAAAATGAATAGAATAATAAAATTGATCTATTTAATTTTTTTTTTAAAATTACAAATCTACCATTTTATAAATTTCAATTTCTGAAAAATTAAACAAATTTTGTTCAATGAAGTCATTGGAGTACAAATTTTGAATTTAACGGGTAATAATTTTTTCTTTTTATAATAAAGTTTAGCATATTCAAGTCATTAGTAGCAATAATATGTTTCATTTAATCCTCTGTTGAATAAAATTATGACTTATATTAAGAAAAGTCATATAATAATCCTAATCTACCCTTCCCAGCAGACTAAAACACAAAAGTACCAATCACTAAATTGTATCTATACACTTTATCAGTCTAACATATATTTGAATTCTTGCTTCACACATTGCCATTGCCATTAAGCCTCCAAATTCAATATTAATATATTCTAGTGATGTCAATCAAGTATTTGTAGTTTTTGCTGCATTATAACATAATACATAAGTAGTTGTAATAGGCATTCCACATTTGATGAGCACATCTTTAGTCCTCAATCTACCATATAGTTAGATTCATAGAATGAAAATTTGTCTAAATTCATCAATGTTATGCCATATTAGTTGTTTTCATGCCACATTAGGCACATCCCCTTTTTTTTTGTCTCTTATAAACTATAGGAATATGAAATTTCTCTCTATGTATCAGTATGGATTTATCACCTTGTGGCATCCGGTACTTTCACATGTATATGATTCCTAATCATCTAATATGTTTGTGTAGGAAAGAAAAAAAATACAAGAACAAAGTAGAAAGAAGAAGAAAAATAGAAAAGAGACGAGAAAGAAGAGAAAAATAAAAGGAGTAAAATCCTTAGATAGTCATTCATGTTTGAGAATTTGTCCTATAATATCACTTTTGTTTCTTTTAGGAACACAATATCATTCAACTATTTCTATTTTCCTCAAAATATACTCCTCTCTCCTAATGAGATACCATGTCATAATTCTATTCTGTATTCAATTGATGCATTTACTCCACTCTTGAATTTTATAAAAGCTAATCAGATTTTAAATTATAAGCAAGTTTTCTCCAAATTGGTATACCTAGTCTATCTCGCGATTTCAATATAGTTAGTTAACTAATATTTATTATTAATTTGTCAACATTTTTAAAAATTAATTATAAAAAGTTATTATCTTATTTATTTGAGTACACTAAATTTATATTATTAGTACACAATTGACTCGCCAAATGAGAAGGGCAACCTTGTTGACCATCGAGGAAAGTGACAGTGCAAGGAGAAAAATCGAAGGCTCAAAAGGCCAGCTAAGGTGGTACTCGATGATACACTGAATGTGAAAGGAAGACTCGAACGAGCTCGCCGATTGAGGTTCAAACACTTGAAGCCTAAATCAAGAGAAGGCGAGCTGAAGCATGATTGGGGATTCGCTGAATGAGCTCGGCGAGGGCGACTAACGTCACCCAAAGGGTAGCATGTTGAGTTTTGGGCTAAATTTTGGGAAACTACAAATAGCGCTAAAGAGAGTTAAAAAATTAGTAAGAAAATTCTGAATATTTTAAAGAGAAAAACACTTTACCTTGTGAAGAACACTTTCTAGTTTTTGAGAATTTTCAACTTTGTTCTTGAAATTGAACCCAAAATGAGTTTTCTTGTAATTGCTTAATTTCATGTTACCCATGGTTGATTTCATGAAATGTATAATTTACTTGCTTTTTGTGATAGGTGGCTAAAACCCCAGGATCGAGGGCTGCAATTATGGGGTTGAGTGTTGATTTAATGTAGTGGTATTATGTTATGCTCTGTTTTGTTGTTGTTCATACATGAATTTTGAAAAATTAGCATGGGGTTAAATTATGGGTTAAGGTTGCAAATTTAATTCCTACTTCCGATCTCCGGTCGATGCTTCAAAGAGGTTGATTATTGGACTGGGTAATTAGTCTGATACTAGCAATTTATGTTTGATGTCTGTAACTTGCATGAAAATAGAGGTTATGGGTCATATCTATTTTTCCTACTTCTGCATCAAAAGAGAGACTAGAGTAAGGCATTGGGTTGTTTAGATTGACATATAGACGAGACCGAAAGGAGATTCTATGCAAGGATGCTATGAGATTGAAAGAAGATTAGCGTCATTGAAGATGACTTAGCCTATTCATGAATGTCATCACCATATAGTAGAACAATTACCCCTATGTGACATTGATTTCCTATCCCCGCACCACTATATTACTTGTTACTTCTTGAATTTTCCAGAATTTTAGTTTAATTGTGAAAATTGATAAATAAATTCTTATAAATAAATTGGTGGAATCATCCACCCACTTACTTTTACTACTCCAAATGAATAATTTTATAATCAAAATTTCTTGATAAAATTATCTACGATATACTATTTTCGGTGGGATTCGACCCCGACTCTTAGTTGGATATTTTTATTGACTACGATCGGTGTCTCTTTTAATTGATTTTAAAGAGTACATTTGAGCATTATCATGGGTCTATAGAATGTCTTGAGGAGTTTATATAGTCGTTGCCAAAGAGATTCTAGGATTTTTTACTTTTATGCATTGGCCGCATATGCATTGCATCAACTCACATTATATGTGATTTACCTATGGTTAGTGTGACCTATCTCTTGTTGTCGTTATCTTCAGTATTCGTACACATATATGTATGATTCTAGTTTGTTGATTAATTTATCGAGTTAGCACAATCGTGCCACTTATATTTTTATAGTGTCTACAAGAGCTATGTCGACCTATGATGCCTACTATGTGGCCGTGTTATGATACTTATAAAGTACTTCTGCATCATTTTCTAATGCAATGCCTAGTATGAGCCACCCTTATTGATTCCAGATCTCCCAAGACTTCACTATTGGATTGTGGTGTGCTCTTAGCATTGGAAGACTTTTTGATATCCCTCTTTTGTATTTTTATGTATTTAGTTTTTTTGATTAGATAGATCTGTTGTGTGTAGTACTTTCTGTACTTAGATTTTCTTGCATTTGTGACACCAGGTCCGGGGTTTGGTTCAACATATATTAATCATTTCTTGTCACTTTTGGGCCTTTATTGTATATTTTGTACCATTATGCACATATATGTTTTGTGGCCTTATGTTATGTCTTTATTGTTTCCACTTTAGTTACTTCTAGTTTTATTTATCACGTGTTGTTTTTGTTTTGGATTGTCTACTAGGGGTTTATCGTAAAAGTCATCATGGTATGATGTTAGGTCATAATAGTTGGATTGAATGACATGAAGTACACCTTGTTATATTGTTTCAGGATCTTGTTGCCCCTTTGAGATATTATTGGAATGTATTCATTGCATTTAGCTACTATTTTTTGTTGTTATTGGCCACATTTTATGCTTTGGACTTGGCTGGTCATGTGTATGTCATTAACGCCTTATCAATTAGTTATGGCTCGTTCATGCAACCTTGTTCATCTCACATATTTTGCATTATCTTTGGTTGGTCAAGCTTTATAGAGATACCTTTAGGGCTTTGGTTGAAAGATATGCAAAGGCTTTAATTTTGCTTTTGGTTTGATCCTGATGGCTTGTGCATAAATTATTGCATGTATATTGTTGTTATTTTACTTATAACCTTACCCTATTGAGTTGTCTACTACAACATGATATGGTGTTTGTCATTAGTACTCTCCTCCTGGCATAGCAATCTAGAAAGCATGCTATGATAATGTTTAGGTGACCGGTGATTTTTTCTTATTTTTGTGATGTTTTTATCGTCTAGGTGCCTCTTGTGAGCTTGTTCAGGTTTTAACATACAATAAAATTGTAGGATTTTGGAGACTACATGTTGATTGATATACTAAGCCAATAGGCTAGGTAGACCAAGCTTACGAGCCCAATAGATTGTGCCTACAGTCCACAAAGACCATAATATAAAATGGGTATATATATGGGAAAATACTATATTCACCATGGACCCTAAGATTTGTATTGATTCAACGTGCCTAATAATTATAAAATTCATGTCAAATGATTAC